GAGGGCTCATTGAACATCTAGAGCAAGTGTTCAACGATCAAGATACCGTGTTCAAATTAAACATCGCCTTTGGGTTTATTCTAAGAAACATTGAGAATAATCAACTACAGTACCATTACTCTTCCAGAAATAACGATAACGTCTTTGACGAACCATTCCAAATTTCAACTGCTGCTGATCTCCAACCTGTACGTGATGGTTTGCAAAACCTAGATGTTCTAGAATGGGCCAGACAGCACCGTCCAAATTCTAAGTGGATCGTCGAGCAAGTGACTAACGTTACTTATTTTGTCACGAAGGTTATTAACCACCCCATCGGTAGAGGAAAACGACTTCCACATTACRTTGTTGAAAATCGTGGGATTACTCCATTGGATTGCAACTTTCGAACAGGCAGACCTTACGTATACGAGGACAACTTGTGCTTCTTTCGTGCATTGGCGCTGCACAATGGAGCWCATCTTAAAAACTTGGAAAGGGATACTAAGCATTATTTTGAAAGGTAAGTGCTGTCAAGCATATGTTTCTTTTGTGAAAGCGTGAAGTGTGGAGTCAACCGATGAATTGTTTACTTAGAATAAATTAGCGACCTTTTGATTGCACTTTTGTTTGCCTTTAGTTAACGAAAAATTTTTTTATTTATTTTATTCACAAACCGAGACTTTAAACGACAACCGTTGCATCAATTTGTTTCGATATATTTCTATAACCGTCATTTATTCTTTATTCTAGGTATCGGGACCTGTTTTTAACAGACCAAGACTTCCAGGGAGTTACTACAGATGACCTTTCAGATTTAGAGAAACTCTTTGAAGTAAATATCTTCGTGTRCACATTAGAACTGTCACACTCTGATGATGACGAGTTGATTCCAGAAATTATTGCCAAGCTCGTGACCCGTTCTTATCGTAATTACGGCAGTACATTGTATCTTAACATGTATGAAGGACATTTCTCTTACATAAATGATGTAAAGAAGTATTCCAAGTCCTTCTCGTGCAGTCGCTGTGGAAAATATTTCAAGAGTGATTATGGCCAACGTCGACATGAGCGTAGATGTGAAGCCAAAGTTCGTTATCAGTTCCCAGGTGGCTTCTACAAAATTCCAAAAAACATCTTTGATCATCTTGAGGATGAAGGGATTGGTATTCCTCAGCACCTCAAGTTCTTCCCCTACAGAGCCACCTTTGATTTTGAATGCTTCTTTGATCGCAACGACAATCCCGATGGGACAGAGAAAATGCTTTGGGAGGCAAAACACGTACCCGTCAGCGTTARTGYTTGCTCTAATGTACCCGGGTACGATCAACCAAGATGTTTTGTTTCAACTGGTGACTCGAAGCTACTAGTTCAAGAAATGGTAGACTACCTTAWAACGATCAGTATGGAAAGCTACCGATTAATGAARGAACAGTTTGATGGTGTATTTACAGGTATTGAAAACAGATTGAAAGAGAAGAAAGCCACTCCCATACTAAATGAAACAGATAGCGAAGAAGAACATAATGGAATAGATGTGATGAGTTCTGATAATGATGACGATGAGGAGGATATTGAATCTGAAACGGAAGAAGACCGGTCCTTCATAAATGATGAAGATAGTATGGCAGAAGAAGAGCCTTCGTTTTATAGAGCTTTAAACCAGGAGCTAKGTGAGAGAAGACCCGTCCTGAGAAACATCGAAAAGACAGAGAATAAGAGACAGCATCCCTTACTCAAATTGAAGGTAATCTTTATGATATCTTCTATATGGTATACTTTTTATGTTTACGACTTTTGAACTAACGAATCTGACTATATGTCTTTTTTT